GCGCAGCTGGCGGCGATCAAGCAGAGCGGCGGCAAGTACAATGAGCTATCAATGTCAACAGCGGCGTGCACGCCAACTAAATCACCCTGTAGCTCGGCTACATCCAGCGCACCAACAACACCCATACTCGACCTTTCCGCCTCGGGCGGCGTGCAATCGAATGAGGGCGGTGAGCGGCCGAAGCGCGCGCTTGGCTTTAGCATTGCTGAGATCATGAGCAGGTAGACGGTTGTTGGCGCAAACGCTAAAAGCCGTTGGTGCAAGTTTGCAGAGCGCGTCAGCAGCGATTTTGAAAAGATCGCGACAAATGCTGGACGTTCAGAGATGTCGCACGCCGCAGCGAAAGCAGAAGGCCGTTGGTTGGCGACAATTCATGACCAGGAAATATATTTAGCAGCGGCGGTAGATGGCCACCGCAACTGGCATTGGCTGCTGGTGGAGTTGCAGCGGTGGCGTCGGCGACGACAAAAGGCTGCATGGCAGCTATGCTACTGGATAGCCGATTCGCTTTAGGCGATCTGCAGCTATGCAAAGTTCAACATTACCAGAGTTCCCAGTTAGACCCGTAAAGAGGCTGTTTGGTGTCTCAAGGAGAAAGACACACACACACACACACACTTAGCTGAAGTCATCAACATGATCGTTAGTTAAATGCATAGAGTATCATAATTTTAGACTTAAGCCAACGCATATTTAGTTGCATATATGTAAAAAATACTTAGATTTATTTAAACAAAAATAAAAAAATGCCAAAGCAGAGAAGTATTTATGAAAAAGGCCGTTTGGTGCGCGTTTCACTTAATTTATGAGCGTCTTCGACACACAAGCGATGATGGTCGATGGCGAAAAAGATAAACAGACAAAGCACACACTTGCAAAAGCACACATATTTATATATGTATGCTTGTAAATATGTAATATTTAAACATCTAAAATAATTTAGCGAATTTTGTTATTTCTTCACTCTTTGCTGTACCTAATAGTTGTAGATTGTAGTTGAGAAAAAAAAAAACAAAACAAACAAAAATGAAAAAAATCGCCGAACTATCGGTTCTTAGACTGTTTTATTTATAAATCATTGTACGAATGTATGTATGTATTTACGCCTGTATGTATCGAAAAAAATATAACAAAAAATCAAATAATGTATGTAATATATTTGAAACACACAAAAAAGCGATTTTTTTTTATTTATCTATTAAAATAAATTTTAAATTCATTCACTTCACTCTACACGCTCGTTTGCTACCACAAAGTAGCCTCACAGACTCTGTGGAGTCGTCGTACTGTTTGCTGCTTTTTGGGTGCGCCTCGCCACTGGCTTGAATAATTTATAATTGTAGAATTATCAAAAGCTTAAAGCCACAAAGAATCAATGATCTCATTGTCAGCTTCATATTTAGGCGCACATAAATTAGTTATGTAAATATACGGTGACCAGTTTTCTGTGGACAAAAATCGGGACATGGAATCCTAACATAAAATTTTTTTAGAATAAAAAGACATGACATCTTCTAATACAGTTTTATTTAAGGCAAACCAAAGAGAAAAAAACTTGAAAATTTTTCGCAAAAATGTATACACACAATATAAACGGGCCGAGAATGTAAATAGGGAAAACACATTTTAGCAAGTTTTGGCTACTTTTCTTTGTTAATTTTTTTTTTATTATTTTATATGAAAATATAGCTATCTATCTTAAAGAACCCCTTTTAAACCGAATTTCAAACTTTGTAGAACATTTACAAAATTTCGACGAATTTTAAAAAAGTTTTAAACTTTTCAATCAGATTTTTAGAATTTTTTCAGCCCGCAGGTTTGTAGCCCATTCAATTTTGGTATAATAAAGTGCAAGTTCGAAGTAGCTTGGACTTACCGTTGATTTTTGATAATTTTTCGTTCGCGCATTTTCTTCAATATAAAGTATGTACGAAATTTTTTTTGTGTGGAGGCATTGTTAATATTAACCAAAAATTACGTTGATTCCTTTTAAAGTTTGAATTTGTATTGTATTGAATAACTTCACAAAATTCAAGTTATAATCGTTTCATAAAAAAAACTTAACAAATAAAAAAAAATTATAAAAACTTAAAATTTTTTTTTAACAAAAATAATAACTGCAATATAGCGAGAGTACCAGTTTGACAGAATAAAACATAACCAAAGATCATAAAAAAAGGATCCCTACTATGTTTGTGGCTCCCCTAATTCTGTGTTCTTTGTGATAAGGAAAGTGCTGCCACGTTTGTACGAAAAATTGTTTTTGGGCCAGAGTACAGGAAGATTATTGATAAGTTAATAAGAAAACACTGAAAATCGGTATTTAATCGGTATAAATATGAAAAATCGGGACACTTATACGTCCAGACTTTTAAAATATATTCAGCGGGACAATTTTCTCGAAATCGGTACTGTCCCGCCAAAATCGGTACGAATGGTCACCGTAGTTATGTAGGTACATACATACATACGTATGTTAGTTAGTCGATATGTACGTAGTTGGTCAAATGCGTATGTCGAACAGTTAGTTAGTTATACATATTCAGCTGTAGTCAGTTATCGAGTTAGTGTGCTTGTTTGACACCGCGCGTTATGAATAAATTGCATAAATTTAAAAATACAATAAATAAACAAGTGACATGTTTATGACAACAAATTTATTTGTGTTTTGAATTTTGAATAGACACTTAACTATTTGTGGAGGCTGTGGGTGTCAGTTATGAGGCAGGTCTAATTTAAATGACTTTTGACTTTAAGTTGTGAACATTTTACATATTTGCAGTATTTGCGCAAGCAAAAGCGGGGCATATCGCCGTTGTAGTTTTGCTAAATAGAGGTTTTTTGCATTTACATATTAACAGCTCAAAGTATTAAAATAGAAATTTCATCAAAATCCCGCGGACCTTACATTTTTCGAATAATTTATTTTAAGTGAAGTTGGTACAACCTGCTTCTTTGAATTTCTTTGACAGAATGAGCTACATATATATGTACATACAAACATATTAGGTTCGAGACAGTGCTGCTGCTTTCTATTTTTTAGAGTAAAACGAAGGAAAAGGCATCACTATTACGGAGAGGCAGAAGACGTTGGGCTGAGAGGAACAGAGAAATTCTAAGTTGAGACTTATTTATCTAAACTGGCAGGCCCGACGAGAGAAGCGGGGGGATCGGGGACTTTTTCCCCCGGGTTCGGAGTTCTCATGGGGCCCCCGTGCTCAGACTCCACAGAATATTTCAAGATGTTTTGCATAGAAATTATAGATTGTTATGATGAAAAGATGTAATAAAGTACTAAAAAATTGTATACACATGAGGGATGTTGCGAATATTTGCATTCGCATTCGTTATGCGAATGATTCGCATAATTTTACGCATTCGCATTCGACATTCGCATTTGCATCAAATGATACGAAGGTTTTGCGAATGTGAATGTGTACATGGGCAGAGAGTCCATTCTAAAATTGTTCAAATGGCTCTAACTGCCGTACCAAACAAAAGCGTTGGGGGAGCGTTTTCTGACGCCTAGCGTTAACACCGAAGTGCCATACCTAAACAAAAGCGTCAACGCTACGTCTAATGCAGAAATCACACCAACGTTAATTTCGAATGCGGCGGATTTCGATCCCTGAGAGCTCAGTGTTTGTTCAGAAGTGCGAGCCAAAATGCTTCCATCTTAGCCTCGCGAAGGTTGGACAGTCTAAAAGAAAGTGTGGAGATGATTCCACTTGATCTTCCTCTTGACAGCTGATACAAAAGGATCAGTTGAAATTCCTAGTCTCACCGCATGAATACCAATCGCACAATGGCCTGTGAGAACACCCATCACTAGCCCTTGAGAGGTACCGTGGTTTAATATGCCCTATAAAAATATTTGCTGCATCAGAGCAACGTCTTCCTTTCCTTTTTTATATCACAAAAGTACGGGCCCGGTTTCCCTTAGCCTAATAGCAGTTCGCGCTGCGACAATTCTGTCTGCAATATTCGCAGGCGCTGTGTTCAACATATGTACATATGTCTAGCGCCAGTGTAGGTGTGGTTCCTAATGCTCCGCTAATTCCTGTTTTACAAGTGTAGCTTTCTCTAGTGCGTTCCACCAGACAAGGGCGCCTTGAAACAATATAGGCTTAAATCTGGTTTCCTAGAGCTAATGAATTAATTTGGGTGAGAGACCACCTTTTACCGATAGCTCCCCTACAGCACTACAAGGCAACCGACACCTTTCCCACCCTTTCCTCAATGTTAGGCTTCCTCGACAGCCGCCGTTGATCGCCCACCTAGTTACCTGTTTCAGGTAACCTTGAGCCAGATCAAAAAGGGTGTACAGAAATCGTTCCTTAACCAAAAGTTCCACCTCATCTACATAGACGATCACCCGACAGCCCACTTTTTCCAGTTCCTTTAGAAGGTCATTTACAACCGTAAACCCGAGCAGGGCAGAGAGAACACCACCTTTTGGAGTGTTCCTACTGACTCTGCACTGTGTGTAGACGCCGCCTAATCCGACGCGACAGTTCTGGCACGAAGTAAACTGTAGACAAGCCTTATTAGGTTGGTTTCAACCCCCAGATTATGAATATACTTGACTAATGCTTCTCTCAATATTGAAGAAGGCCCATGCAGTAGGTCGTGAAGGCTTCCTTTGACCAGTTTACCAATGTGTGCAGGGCGGTATTCACCGACCTTTTTTTGCAATAAGCATATTGAGGTCTTGAAAGACAGTCACGAGGAATCGCGTTTCTTATGTACACGTCTATCAATCTCTCTAGCGTTTTTAGCAAAAGCGGTTTTAGTAAAAACGAAGAGACTGATAGTTCTAAAATTCCTAGGGGAAACATGAGAGGCTTTTGCGTACTTCGGGATGAACGCAACCCTCCAAGCCTTTGGATGTACCCGGTCCTCACGGAGTTCGCGTAAATAGGAGGGATCCAACCCATTGCACGACACCTTCAGAACCCTTTGCAGCTGTGCATGTATGATGCCATCGGTCCCCGGCGACTTTAATAGTTTGAGCGAATTTATCGCCCAGCCCATGTGACGGATGTCCAGAAGATCGGAGAATTACAGGACCTGGGGGAGATTCTGTAACCAGTTAGCGACAATTTTCGAATCACTATCGCACTTTTGGACGCAAAAATATTTATATCATCTCCCTCCTGAAGTACAAAATACCGCAAAGAAGTACATTTGACTGTACTTCGAAGTACGAAAAGAAGTACTGTACTTCTGAAAGAAGTACGGTTGGTCACATTAGGTATGCTTCATACAAATTGTAGGGGCATGAGAATTTTCTCACAGACAGACGACGCTGAGGCTTTTGTTTAGGTATGGCAGTAAGTCTGTTTAACCAGGGTGTGGACAATAACCGACTTTTTGCTTCAGGCGCTAAACGGTCAAGTAGTATATCAAGCAACATTGATGGGCCTTCAACAAGTACTACTAAAAGTCTTATAAGCAACCTAGAAATAATTTTAGATTCCTCCAGTGAATGCGAAGGCTGGGATGTAGAATCT